TTTAGATTTATTGTTATAAAAAGAAACTGTTTTTGATTTTTTCCAGGAATGCCAGGAACAAAAAATACAATAACTTACGCATGTTGTCCAGAGCCCTATGTGGATGTGACTTTTACAATACAGATAAGAAGAAGAACTTTGTATTATTTCTTCAACTTAATTGTGCCCTGCGTTCTAATATCATCCATGGCCTTACTAGGATTTACACTTCCCCCAGATTCAGGAGAGAAACTGACGTTAGGTATTTTAACATTTGTAGAAATATTGACTGTAAATCCTTACTCATCTTAAGGTAAAAAATAATTAAAGCAGTCTAAAGGCTTGTCTATTAAATTATTATTCTCTTGAATGGATATGTTATGTAACTATTATTTATTTTAAATAATATTAACAACGTTTTTAGATAGGTAACTAATTCGTAGAAGCTTTTATTAATGTTGAATTATTTAAAAGATACCAAAGATACCTATTTTACCTGAACTTCATTACTGTACAATGATTTGCTTTTTTTTTTTTTTTTTGTTGGTGAAATTTTTATCTTTTACATGTTCCAAATAAAATATAATAATGTAATTTTCTGTATTATTTCGGGACTTATTCAATTAAATAGACCGAGATTGTTATTTATATACAAGCTTATGAACTTGGCACTGGATTATTTCTTTAATGAAATCTTTCACTAAGTCCAAAGACAAGCAAATCATATCTTTCATTCTCTTTGGATTGTGAAACTTTTTTATTTATTTATTTGTTATTATTGTCATATTTTTATTAAAAATACGGTGGAAGTTTGACATTTAAGAAATATGGATAGGAGCCCTTAGAATTCTGTTAAACAGGGATCCTAAGAAGATGCTGGCATAGCACGAGTTGCACCATAACAATTTTTTAACAGTGCCTAATTTTACGAATTTATGAAATTTTGGTGGAGAGCTCATTTTTTTAGGTTTATGAATTTTGAAAAGATACCATATTTTTTGGGGGTTTGAATTTAAGGGAACTATCAAATCTGAGAAAAAGGGAAAACTAAACTATTATTTTTATTATTCTATACTCACTTGCACCGTTTCTGGAGTGATGGGAAACTGTGGTATTAAGATTATAGGAAGTTATCATTGAATTCTGTGAAAGTTTCAGATCACGATATATTCAGAAGGTAACAATCTACTTCAGTTTATATTGGAGGATAATTTTCTAAGCAGTATAATAATTTTGATAGGTCATGGACTGAGAATAAGAAATAAGAGCATGGTGCATATATAGCATTTTCAACCTTTTCCAAGTCAAATTCAACCATTTCCAAATCAAACTAAACTTTTTCCAAGTCAAATTTAACCTTTTCCATTTCAAATTAAACCTTTTTTTTATTTATTTACATATTTTTAATTTTTCGATGTACGGGTCAGTTATCCTATGAGCAATTTTTGAAAATAATATCCATTTTAATATTACACCACTCAGCTTCAATTTATTTAAGTTTTTCGAATTTGTTCGATATTAGTGTCTACTTTATATGTTTCAGGACCTAAATTTTCAAAATGGCCTCAATTTTAAGATTACGCCACTGCGTTTCGACTTATTTAAGTTTTTCGGATTTATTCGATATAAGGGTGTATTCTTATGTTACCGGACCCGTAGATTTTGAAAATGATCTCCATTTTATGATTACGCCACTACGTTTCGACTAATTTAAGTTCTTCGGATTTATTCGATATAAGGGTTTTTTCTCATGTTTCCGGAGCTGTAGTTTTTGTAAATGATCTCCGTTTTATGATTATCGGTTATTCTATCCTATTATAAAATTATAAGTTCGAAATCTTATAATTTTGTAAGAGGCGACCACAACATTAAATTAAAGGATAGATCTACATAGGCATTAGTGAAATGAGTAAAAAAGGCCATGGATAGGTTTATTTGGATAAACAGCATGTTCTTATCTAGTCCTATGTTCCTGCAGGAATGAGGGCGAAAGAAAGTGTGAGATTGATTATGAAGGACAGCCTTTTTACAAAAGTAGAAAATTGGGATCCAGTATCTCCTAAAATAGTTACGACTAACCTGGAATTATCTATAGGAAAAGTGACCATTATTCAGGTGTATGCCCCCACCGAAGAAGTTATTGCTTTAGATAAAGAACAGTTTTATACTGAGTTAGAAAGGGAAGTCATAAAAAGACAGGACAAGAACAGAGAAGTAATCATTATGGGTGGCTTCAACGCTAGGACTGGGAGTGACTACATCAATGCACATGGACTTATGGGAGAACATGGGGGTGAGCACACTAAAAATAGAAATGGTCAAAGACTGATTGATTTATGTGTTGACTATGATCTGCTAATTGGTAATTCATTCTTCCCACACAAACAAATACATAAAATAACTTTTTCTGCTGAAGAAAGGAATGTAAATAGTACAATCGATTACTTCATCCATAGTCGAAGGATAAGAAAGCTATTTACTGATATTAAAGTGATTAGGGGTGCAAAAGTTGACTCAGATCACCTCCTATTAGTCGGTGATACTCAAATTCTTTCCCCTAGGAAGAAACACCCAAGAAGCTACCAGAAAATCGGCACTATTAAGCTCCAAGAACCTGAAAAAAGAGCGGAATATACAAACCTATTGGATTCTAAACTCCGGGAAACCAGCATGGATGGAAGTGAAGACAAAATATGGTCAGGAATAAAGAAAGCCATACTGGAGGCCGCTACTTTTACTCGCAGAATTGCCAATATTTCACCTGCACGTGAAAGATCCAAGTGGTGGAATGATAGGGTGAAGGAATCAGTGGCGAGAAAGAAGGCAGGATGGAAGGAGTACCATAGACACAAGACCCCATCCAATTGGGAAATGTATGTTCGAAGGAGAAACGAAACAAAGCTAGTAGTGAGGGTAGCAAAAAGAAAAAAATGCAAAACACTGGAAGGAATTTGGTCAAAATTTGCAGAATAGTTATCATGAATTAGAAGATTATTTTACATAAACAGAAGTCTGCTAAATTTTCCAAGGTTACTGGCTGCTATTTTTACATTTATATTTATTAAGACATATTGGCCAACATCCCTTAAAAAACGTCCTGATATCCTAGATATATTTATCACTTCTCAGATTTCCTCTTCCCTGACCGCAATAAAATCCCTGGATGACCTTTCATCAGATCATAGTCCAGTTCTGCTATTATTACATTCAAATCTCGTTCCTAAACCCTCACATCCGAAATTGATTACAGGACGAGTAGACTGGGACAAGTGTCGTCACGATTTGGAAAATAAACTGGACTTAAAAATTTCGCTTAAGACAAAACAAGACATTGACAAATCCATAGAAAAACTCACTACATCAATAGCTATTAGTATAAATGATAACACTTCCATCAATAGAAGCAATAACTCACGATATAGTAACTTACCATTAAATATTCGAATCTTATTAAGAGAAAAAATCTTATCACTTCCCAGATCCTAAAACTTTTTCCTCGGAAAGCCATCCTATTCCTCACTTACATATACAATGCTGTGCTCCGATCCACATATTTCCCTGATTCTTGGAAAATATCTATTGTAAAAATGTTACACAAACCTGAAAAACCACCCGAACACCCATCCTCTTACCGTCCTATTTCTCTATTACCTATCATGGGCAAAATCCTGGAAAAACTCATCCTAAAACGCCTGTATCCCATCCTAGACTCTAATCATATTATCCCTGATCACCAATTTGGATTCCGCACATCGCATTCCACTATCCAACAATGTCACCGTGTGGTTGATGTAGTCTCCTCTGCATTGGAGCGCGGTATGTACTGCACGAGAGTCTTTCTCGACGTTGAACAGGCGTTTGATCGAGTCTGGTACCCGGGTCTTCTGTACAAACTCCGAAAAGATACTTCAAAGTAAACCAAAATAATGTCTTCTCATCCCTCTTTGCTCAATCTGCAGGCGTTCCACAAGGTAGTATCCTCGGTCCCATCCTCTACACAGTTTATACAGCTGATATCCCAACCCATCCTGACACTGTCATCACCACTTACGCCGATGACACATGTTTGCTATCTGTTAATAACGATCCTTTAATTGCATCCCAAACTCTTCAATCACATATCACAAGCCTTGAAGAATGGTGTAAAAATTGGAGAATAAAAATAGATTCCAACAAATCCCATCAAATCACCTTTACTCTCCGTCGTAAACCTATGACATCTTGTCCTACAGTAACTTTCAATAATACTCCACTTATTCCTGTTGAGCAATTCCGCTACTTAGGACTCCATTTGGATAAACGTCTTACTTGGAATCCTCATACTAGACTGAAACGACAAGAAACTGCTCGACGTTTCCGACTGCTCCAACACTTACTAGACAAACGCTCCAAACTTTCTATTAATTACAAAAGACTTATCTACATAACTATAATAAGACCTATATGGACATACGGAGTTGAGCTTTGGGGCTCCACCAAACCATCGAATTCCTATCGTATCCAATCCTTACAATCCAAAATCCTCCGTAAAATCCTCAATGCCCCATACTTTGTCACAAATAAAACCATTCATAAAGACCTTAATGTACCATATGTCGCTGATTTAGCTCGAGCCAGATATCTATCCTTTCATGATAAACTTCAGTCCCATCCAAATCCGCTTGTTTCCACTCTTGCTTCTTTCTCGATTCCTGATAATCCTCCTAGCCGTCTGAAAAGGAGATGGCCTCGTGATCTTCTTACTTAAAATTATTTAGAGAGTGCTACCACTGGGTAGTAACTCTTCAAGCCTGTACATGCCATTATTTATATTTGCGCATATTTACTTGTTGTATTTGTATACAGTTGTAAATTCCATTAAATAAACAAACAAAAAAAATATATATTTATTAAGTCATTCTTTTCTGTTTTTTGTTTTTGTTTCTGTGTTTATTAGATATTTTCACATTTATGAATATCACTCACTCTCCTACCAAATTATTTATAAGAGGTTTAATTAAGTTTTTAAATTATACACTTACTAGATAAGCTCTGCAGTTTCTTCGTTATACATGCTTGTTAGATACATACGATGGGCACATGACTGAATCCATATGATTAACTGAATATCATCTAAAATTTATGTAGAAAAACAAAAGGGTCAATCACTAAAAAAAAAAAAAAAAAAAAAAAAAAAAAAAAGATTCATTGATGTTTTTTTAAATAACAGTAATTACTCTGCAAGAAAAAGAAATAAAGTAATTAAAATAATGCCTAAGCGGTCCTTGAAGAGCTGTAAAAAAAAACTTGTTTATAGGCACAATAATGCTTTTAGGGCTAATTTTTTTATATTGGTTTCTTAGCACATACTTACATTTAGTAATAAAATACATGCATTATGTATAACATAACATAAATAAGAAGAGAATATATTGTGATTGTTTATGTATCTGGCTCAGATCACTCACAGAAACAAAAATGGACTAATGAAGCAAAACTTATTTTTCTATTTTTAGGGCAGGGCTTTCGGGCAGAAGCCCCCATGGATCCACCAGTGGTGACAATTAGAATAACCAACAAAATTATTGATTAGTTATGTTATGTTATCACTGACAGTCTGATTAATTATGTAAAAATCGCAATATAAAACATTTTTAATAAAATATATTTATATACTGAGAGAAACAAAGGCTTAGAGAAAAACTAAAGTCCATAGGGATAATTTTTGGAGCCCCCGTCAAAATATTAAATTTATCACTAAAAACTAACCTCCTACTCTATAATTTATGCAAAAAATATTATGTATTTTTTTTTCTGTTGGAATTACAGACCATGGATATCTCTTGCTGCCTTGACAAGCCTGCTCCATCTCTGCTTGTCTTGGGCTATTTCTTTCCATTTATCTGCACGCAGCTCTATTGCATCTTTGTTGATTCTATCTATCCATCTGATTTTCGGACTTCCAAGTGGTCTTTTGCCTTCTATTGAGGCATTCATTGTTACATAGAGGCTTCCTGATGAATTGCTACGAGCTATATGCCCCAATCATCCGTAACCTCCGTGCCTTTATATCATGGGATATTGATTGACCAGTTTCTGTAAGCAGTTCTTTATTGGTCTTTCTTCTCCATGTGTTAGTACTTTGATCCCAAATCGCACCGGTTATCATGCAGAAGATTTTTCTCTCGAATCTTTCAACAAGTTTTTCTAGGGTGCTGGTTAGTGTCCAGATCACACAACCATATATTAGAACTGGCTTTATCATAGCATTGTACACCCTCAATTTGAGATTTTTTGGGATTTCAATACCTTTGAAAGGGAGAAGAACGTTTATGCTAGTTATATACTGGTCTATTTCTGTCCGTTGATCATTCATTGAGGTTATTGTGGAACTGAGATATTTGAATTATTCTACTTTTGGTTTCACTATAATTTGTTATTATTAATATATTACATAATTATTATTTAATATTATCAATAATTTATATTAATGTAAATTCAGAATTTTTTTTATTTATTTATTTATTTGGACATACAATATTCTGTCACAGGGACAATAATTATATTGATAAATGAACACATTCACACCGTATATACAAAAAAAAATTAACAAAGTAAAACAATAACTAAATAATAATAAATAAAAACTATATACAATAAAAAAAAATAAAATAACCTAAATATAAGTAAATTAAAAACATAAAAATACAATCATACCTATATACAATATACACAATCAGGCGGGGAACCCAAATCCCTGCGCTAGTCTCTCAACCTCCTCACCGGTGCTAAAGCCGGTGGAGTTTGAGCGAGAGCGCTTTAGCCACATACACTCATGTCTTGAGTGGAGAATCTGGCCATTGCCAGAACTCCAAAATAAATACTATAAAAGATCTCTGGGCCACTGCCGCTTCAACCTTCGAGGAGGGTTGTAGGGATGAGTGGAACTAGATAGGGATTGGGCTAGGGGATTTGGATGATTGATAAGGTTCTGATGGAATTTTGAAAATTTTTCAGGGATAAGGTCAAGGACAAATGGGATATTAAGGTCATGATGTAGGGTTTTGTTGGTTACATAGAACGGAGCATCGACTATTGTTCGGAGGACTTTGGATTGAAAGGATTGGATGCGTTTGATGTTAGAGAACTTTGCTGTCCCCCAAAGTTCAAGTCCGTAGGTCCAAATGGGTTTCAGGATTGTCTTGTAGATCTGTAATTTGTTGTCAATTGAAAGTTGAGATTTCCTGGTCAGTAGTCTGTATAATTGGCCGTATCGTCGGTTAAGTTCTTGTCTTTTAAGTCTAGTATGTGGGTTCCACTTTAGTCTTCGGTCTAAGATAAAGCAAAGATACCGGACTGTGTCTGAAAAAAAAAGCTGGATGGAATTAAAGTGGACTGATGGACAGGATCTGCGGCGGAGTGTGAAGGTAATGTGTTTGCATTTGGATTCGTTTACTTTGATGCGCCATTTATTACACCAGTGCTCAATCATGGAGAGGTGCCTTTGAAGATTTAAAGATGCTATTTCTGGATCTGAGTTGGATGATAGGATGGTGGTGTCATCAGCAAATGTTGCCAGAAAGGTATTGGGATGGACAGGGATATCGGCGGCAAAAAGGATATAAAGGACAGGGCCCAAGACGCTATCTTGAGGAACACCGGCTTCAACTGGGTAGGAGTCGGAAAATTCTGAACCACAGCGAACCCAAAAGGTACGATCAGAGAGGTAGGAGCGGAGGATTAGGTACAAGGACTGAGGTAGATAGGTTTTCAGCTTGGAAAGAAGCCCGGAGTGCCATACCCGGTCAAAAGCTTGAGCTATGTCCAGAAAAGCAATATGATCGACCACTCGGAGTCCTTGTTGGACTGTGGAGTGTTGTGAACGAAATCCGAACTCATGGGAAGGAAGATTTTGGGATTCTATAAAAGGTAGGATTCGTTTCAGGAGGATATTTTCAAAGATTTTGGAGAGGATTGGAAGTAGGCTAATTGGTCTGTAGGACGTAGGGGTGTTGGGAGATTTTCCTGGTTTCGGAAACAGGATAATAGTGGATTGTTTCCACAAAAGAGGAAAGTGGGTGGTTCTAAGGATGGTATTGTATAAATAAGTCAGAAATATAACAGCTTTAGGAGGGAGTTGTCGAAGGATTTGAGAGGTAAGGAGGTAGTATCCAGGAGATTTACGGAGAGGAAGTTTTTGTAAGTGATGTTTGACCTCAGAAGGATTAATTGCTTTAGGGGGTAAGGAAAGTGGAATGGGTGATGTAAGGAATTCTTCTACTGTTATGGTATGGGTGGGGTTGGATTCCGGAAGTGAGGTGAATGTTCTGGAGAGGTGTCTGGCGAATTCCTCAGCTTTGTCTTCATCAGACGCTGCCCAGGAGCCATCGCATGATGATGGGATTTAAGGATTTTGTTGGTGATATTCCATAGAGAATTGTCGTTAACAGAGAGGGAAGTAAGGTAGGAGTTGAAGGATTGGGATTTGAAGATGGCCAATTCCTGCTTTAATCGTTTAGTGAAATAATTATAAGAGCGCCGATCGGTGGGGTGTCTTGAACGTTGCCATAATATTCGGGCACGGTGTTTGATATGAATTAGATCTAGCAGGTGCTGAGGTAAATTATTTTTCTTAGGAATTTTCGAGGAGAAATTTGGAGAGGAAGCAGTCCAGATTGCTTGCTGAATAGTAGTGGTAAAGGAATTTACGGCATTATCGAGGTCTTCTGGGCTTTTCAGGGTTGTTCTGAGGTCAATTTTATCGGAAAAGATTTGATGAAAGAGTTTCCAGTTAACTGGGCCTCTGATGAAGGACGGTGAAGGGGGTTTAGGAATAGGAGCTATTGATAATTGAAGTATTAATGGACTATGATCTGAGGAAAGTTTGTCAAGACGAGTAAGGGGATGATTGAGGGGACCTAAACCACTGTGTATGAAAAAAAAACAAGGATATCAGGATTGCGGTTAGGATCAGTGGGCCAGTAGGTTGGTGAGTTGGGTGGAAGGAGACTGAAACGTTGGGTATTGAGTGCAGACAGAAATGTTCTGCCACGAGAATTCGTGGTTCTTGAACCCCAAACTTGATGCTTGGCATTTAAGTCTGCACCCAGGATGAAATTATGACCTAAGAAGTTGAGGAGAGAACTGAACTGGACTTTGGATATGGATCTGTTAGGAGGGCAATATGCTGATGCAAGAGTGACTGGAAAGGAGAAGGTTTTGATTACAATAGCGGTTGACTGTAGGAAATCTTGAGTAGGTAATGGGAGTAAGTGGTGGGAGAGGGATTGGTGTACGATGACAGCAGTACCGGCATGTGCTCTACCGTCAGGATGGTCAGTGCGGTATGTTTTTTAAAACCTGTTTTATGGTCAGTCGAGTTTCTATAATTAGGGCTACGTCAATGTTCTTGTCTTGTAGTAAAGCTGTTAGTTCGTCAACGTGATTTCTATCACCATTCGCATTCCAAAGGAGAATGGAGATGGGTTTTGGGGTGTGAGTCATTAAGGATTTTTTAAAGGAGGGATAAGGTGAGACACGGGATTTGTAAGGAGTGATATGAGTGGAGTAACTAGGGATTTGAAATCGGTGAGGAAAGATGCTAACAAACTGGTGAGATCTGTTGCATTTAAAGGAGGAGGAATATGAGGAATTTGAGGCTGTTGATGATTATGTGTGTTAGGATGAACAGAATATTGATGTTGGGGCTGAGGTAGTTGCTGCGGCAGGGCTTCACATGTATTATTTGGGTTCTTACCTCCAAGTAGTTCGGAGTATGATAAATTATTATTTACAATTCTAGAAGGTTCTCTTCTTGGTCTGGTTGTCTCATCTTGAATCCGGTTCTTCTGGTATCTGGATTTGAGGCTCTTATAGGTTTGGCAGCCTTTGTAGTTGGCCGGTTGTCCCTCCTGGCATAGTGCACACACTGCAGGATCTTGTAACGGTTTGGTGCACTCCACAGATTTGAGCTGTTCACCGCATTTCACGCAACGTGGCAGATGGTGACAATAAGTTTTCGTGTGGCCATACGCCTGGCAATTGTGGCACTGCACAATTTCCTTCTTGGGGTATGGCTTCTAT